ACAGCATTGTAGTCTGCAAGGAGGTTTTAAATGTATTAACAGATTTGAATGCAATAGCAAACTGAAACTCCAGCTCACACGTTATAATCAGTTCCAGCAAACAGATATTTTTTTTTTCCTTTTGGGTTAAACATTTTCCATGGATAAATAAAAGCTGATCATTTTAATCACACCTGCCAGTGGTAAATGGATTGTTTTGCTGGAGAGCTTGAAAAACAGACTTGCTGGCTGAATGATAGATGAAAATAGAAGAAAAAGAAAGCTTAAAAAAAGAAAACTAATGCAGCCATCACATCTAAGAGTTGATAAGATGCAATATGATAAATATTTGCTTTTGGGTTTGATACTGCTTTGCCTTGTCTTCATTATTAACTTTCACTTAATTAAGTTCAGTTGAAAAAAAAGTAATCTATTCATTCTGAATACAGGAAAATATCTGCTTTTCTTTCAGGGCCCATTAAAACATTTCCTATGCACTGCATTATTCGCACACATTGAAGTGATACTAAACTCAGGACTCTGCATTCACTATATATGGTCTCCCACAGTACACACAACATGGAAATGCAATTATTTTAGTAAATATAAACTGATAAATACCTTTTCTCATCAGAAGTTAGAGTAGTCTTGTGACTTCAGCAGAGCACTGGTTAAAACTTGTAGGAGGAGTTTTCTTTCTGCTTTAGGAGGATGTGAAACCTCTGACCCTCTGTCTGGACAGTGCTGATTGGCCCTGTGCTGATCACATGCACCCTCCCAAGAAAAAAAGCCTCTCTAGCAATATACACCAAACTGAGCATGTGCATGTGACCACGGGTTCAGTCTGTATCAGGTGGTCAATTCAACAAGAGGAGGGGCAGAGAAGACAGGATCAAACAGCCTTTTTACACAATGCAGAGGATTAACCCCTTAGGTTCCACAGTGAGTATAACAAGCATGCTTTACTGCATATACAGACTGTGGCTTTAGTAACACTTTAACATGCAGTATTTTGCAGGCCAATCATTTTAGATGGACTTCCAAGGCACCACAATGAAGGTTTTTTAAAAGTGCCTGCAGATTTTATTTTTTTAAACTGAAGCACACCACAACACACAGAAGTTTCTCATTATGTGTGTTGTGGAGGACTACAATACTTGTGTGTTGCTGCGTGATGCCTAGGTTCCTTTCAATGCCTTCAAAATGAATGTCCCTTTTTGTGTCTTATATGCAGATACGCTGCATTAAATCTGACTTCAATAGACACAAATTAATGCAGCTCTGTAATCACTATCAAATCATCAAAGCACAAAGACATTTCCTCTGTTGTATTAATGTTTTGCCATTCAATATAGATGGACTCTCAAGGCAACACAATGTACAGAACTTGCAAACTTCTTTTTTTATAGTTCATGTTCTGGATGGCTACAATACACGTTTGGGTTTAAATGCATTAGTTGTGCACTCCTGTGACCCGTATTCAGCTGACAGCAAGCTAAAGCCTGCTGTTTGCTGACTTCACTGAGCCAGTGCAGGTTTTGGAGAAATCCCAACTTTAAAGTCGGTATCCATCTACATTCCTGACGGGCAGCTGGCTCAGCCTCTTAGTGTGCAACTGAGCCCAGCTGCTTCCATCCCTCCACAGCCCAGTGCTCCAGTGAGAGCTGGAGGGGCAGAGCTCTTTGAATGCTCAGTTCTTGGGCTTAGAGGAGGCAGAGAAAAGATGCAGCACTAAACCAATGCTGCATCTACCTAGGTGAGTATGTAAGGTTTTTTTTTTTTTTTATTCTCTTTTAATGCAGCTCTGTAATCATTAATGCAATCATTACAACTTGGCTCGGGGCAAAAATTCTTTTTTTTTCCTTTATATTCCTCAACAACAAATAAAAAAAACCCTGAAATTCATTTTGTGTATACCAAATGCCTTTGAAAACCCAAGTATTACTTTGTAAAAGTACTGGTGACATCATCCTTGTACTGCATATTGCCTGTGTAGAGAGCATATTCATGGGAGAGCACAGATGGTTCTCCTACTAAAGACTGCCTGCAGAAATTTACAGAGGACAGACACCCTACACAAGGAAAGAGAACAGCTGTGAATGATCCTTACTACAGAGAAATCTTGCAGAGAGGCAGATGTAGCAGTTATTTTTAAGAGGGGTTACTGCACAAATTTAAAAAAAAAAACTACACAAATTGCACCAAGAATATACACAGGTCTCGTATTTTGGTAAAATTAGTTTAGCCTAGATTTCAGTTTTCAAAGGATTTTTATAATGCAAGCAGTAGCTGAATGTGATGTGGTATCAGACTCTTGCAGGCCCTTTTTATTTTTGCTGGAGTGTAGAGAGGAAAAGCAATTCAAGAAGGTTGTGATTTAAGTTCAGATCGAATCTGGGTTTGAGGTGAACCCAACCTGTTTACTGTTCGCAGACCCACCAAACTTGAATATATTGAGTTGGGGTTTAATGTTTTAGGATTTAATTATTGAGGAGAGGTATATTTTATTTTATTTGGCTATGGTAGTTTTCTATTTCATGACTTTTAAACTTGTTACACAAGACTACGTATGTGTACAGTCAAGTTTTTGCACCAAATTAGCACATCTTCAGTATATCACAGCACCACATCTTATTCCCCAATTTCCATTACTGGCATTAATATCAGGCAATCCCGAGTATTAAAAATGTCATGCAGGCTTAAACAGAAAAAAAGAGGTTCTGCGCGCAGAAGTAGTAGGAGGCAAGCAGGCACTGCGAGAGAAAATGGTGATACATGGACACCAGACACGGAATAAGATAAAAGTGAGGGAGAGGCAGAACAGCAGTGAGGGGGGATTTTGTTCAGCTTGAAAAGGACTAGAGGGAACAGACATTCTATTCTAAGGGATGGCACTGCCCTATGGGTACAGGCCAGTGCAATCCCCAGGGCCATTCCACAGAGCTCTGAACGCTGGGTCTGTGTTCACCAGGGGCGGACTGACAACTGATGGAGCCCCCAGGTAATAGGGGATCATGGGGCCCCTGTGTCCTCGCCCACACTCAAACCACACCCAAAAAAGCCTATGAAAGGTGCAAGGGGCATCTCATGGGGCCCCCTACTGACCCCAGGCCCTCGGGCAGTGCCTTAGTGCCCGAATGGTCAGTTTGCCCCTGGTGTTCACACATCTGTTCCTATTGTGGTCTGTAGCCTCAGCCTGCAGAAAATCACCCTTGGTAAACTTCCAGCCATTTGGATAAAACATCCCTATCGCCCACCACAAGACTCTCCTTCTGCATCTGCTGCAACATCTTCTACCTCAAGCAATAAGTAGGGAAGGAGGCTCCCACATGGTTGGGGAGATTTACCTTATTCAACATCAAGAGGAGAAAAGGGGTCAGAATGGGCTCAAGCTGAACACAGTCAAGCCTAGGCTTGAACTCTGCCATAAATATCATTACCTCATTACACCATGTCCAGCAGCATCCTTGACCAGGCTGGTGTTTATTATGCAACTATTTGAGCAGAAGAATTCCCTGATGCCCAGAATCCTAATGCCCCCTTGACCAAACTGCTGGAATTACAGCTGCTGCTATCCCAACCCATGGAGTTAGCCCCATTCTGAGAGTTTATTGCCTGTTCTACAGCACAGGGGCAGGCTCCCAGCCTCCATTTACTCAGAAGGCAATCTCTGCCCTTCACAAGAATGTGGAAAGTAATGTTGCTAGACCACTTTGCCAGTGACAAGGTTCACATTCACATTCTGCCAGTTCTCCAGGGCAAAAAAAAGAGGTGATTGACCCCATGCCATCTTGTACCAGGCAAGGACATATGTGACAATAACACCCACCTACTGGCTGCCCTTCAGCAGTGAAAGATCACACAGTTATTTTGCTTGATATGTGGGCTCAACCTGGTGGTTCACTTAAGGCAGTCATACCTGCAGGTATGGCTGTGCAGCCAAAATGCAGCTGCAACACAAACTGCCTGTCAATGGCAGGGTTGGGGTGCAAGTGGTGATAAGGAGGAAAAAATGAGGCAGACTTTCAAGGAGTCATTCACTCCTCCCAAACCTCAGTGTCCTCTGCTGCAGACAATCTTTAGTGAATGTACCTTTTGATGCCTAAATGCCTGCGCATGGACTCCAGGATTTGAGCCACAAAAGAGGAACCATTACTGGGTGGCCAACCTTTTGGATTCCCAATTCAAGGGGAAAATGGTAGATCCAGTGCTACCATCCCAAAGAGCACAAAGTGTGGCATTTAGAGGAGGTGGTGGCAGGACCCACTCTCATGCCCAACTTTCCTCTGATTCTCAGGTACTAAACATAATATTTCTGCAGCTGGATCTTAGCTGCAGAATTTGTAATGTGTGTTGCAGGGTAAATCCTGCATTGTGCCTCACTACTTTCAGCTTATTTCAATGTTTAGGGTAACTCATGCTCTGGTGTGACCACATCCCTTATGACATCATCAAGGGGGCATGCTAGGTTGGTGACATCACAAGGAGGCAGGGTCACCCAGCGACATCACTGGGTGGCCCCGCCCCTTAGTTATTTAAGAACTAGTCAGGCAGCGAAGCTGTCAGACGGTGGGAGCTTTCGTTGAGAGCTAAGCCTTTTTTTTTCTTTTTTCAGGTCAGCTGTGGCAGCAGGCATCATGATTGATATTGGTTCTACGCTGGGGGACTTTTTTATTTTAGTTTTTTTTAATAAAGGACTTGTCAAAAACTGACTACTGTGATTTTTTACACTACCTGTTGAGGGCATGTGGCCTTGTATGGTCCAGGAGGGGGGTGCTCACTCATCCCCCCCATTTTTCTGACCTGCCGGGCTGCATGCTCGGATAAGGGTCTGGTAGGGATTTTGAGGGGGGCCCCATGTCATCTGTTATTTATATTGGCACTGGGGTTCCCCTCAAAATCCTATTTAGACCCTAAGGTCTTCGTATGGAATGGGGGGGGCACACTGTTTTTTTGCTTAATTTTTAATTGCCGGCAATTTTTTTTTACATTCAGCTGTCAGTGGGGAACCCCGCTGACATTTGATGACTGACAGGTTGTTAACCTCCCTGGTGGTATTCCCAAGTGTAGCTCGGAGTAAAGTTTCAGTACTACAAGCGGAACCCCGAGCTACACTCGGGAATACCCTGCAGCGTTGCTGTGGATCTCTTCTGCACTTACCTTGTCTCTTCTGCACTTACCTTGTCCTGCACTCCCGCGATATCCCTCCTGCAGTGTAACCTGCAATGTCCTCCGGCATCTGTCTTCCGCGTTCTGTTCCCTGTGACGTCAGGACGTACGCGGACGGAACTGGTGGGAAATTTGAAAATTTTAAAAGTGATATTCACTAAATTCACTAAAATCACATAGTAAAACATTACTGTATCAAACCATTTCACATACATTTTGTCCCGAGTGCTTTGTCCTGTGCCCTGCCTGCATTTTTACTGTTCTTTCTGCCTGGAAACTGAGAAATGTCCATGGTGTCCAAAAAGCGTCCCTTTAGGTCAAAATCGGTTTTAGACCAGATAGAGAACAGCGATAGTAAATCAGAACCACTTGCAGAATTGAGTGATAATGATTCGTGGGGAAATTCCTCATCAGACACTGAAAACGATGCTGCGACCGAGCTCAGCGATGTGCGAACTTGGCGCTATATTTTAAATTTCAGTGTTTTTGGTTTGATTATGTTATTGAATTAAATGTATTATTATTATATTATTATTTTTTATGATTATTTATTAAATTATAATTTATGATTTCGTGTTTCAAATTTTACCATACCCGGGATTTTTACTAGACTCTTGTTCAGACAGATTTCAGTGAGTTATTCCTAAAAATTACAGGCCTACAATAAAAAAACTACATATTTCCATGCAAATAAATGTACTGCTTTGAGCACAGAAATATGGACATAATCAGACCGCTAGGGAAGCTACGGATGCATCGGCCACAACCATGACAGTTACTAACAGTTGCCAGTACATACCGCATGCCTCACCCACTATTTAATTACTGCATGCATTTAATTATTTATTCCTTCTGTGAGTTGACTTTAAGGTCTTTTTATACAGTATTTACCGAGCATGTTTGCTAATTGTGGTAAATACTGCATATTTGCAATAGTGAATTGACATTTTCATTATTGCATGCGGCATGTGGTCACGTGACTGACATAATGCAAGTGATAACCTTTAGTGAATTGTCCCCATAGTATTGGTGAGTGGCAGTCTAAATTGAGTTGCTGGAATAATCACTGTTTATTACCACACTGTAAAAAGTTGTTTTCATATATGTGGTTTGACATTATAATATAAGTATAATAGCACTGAATTTTGAGTGCTGTTACATTCTGCTATAAAACTTCAATTTTTATTTTAGGATAAAACTAACCTCATCTTGTCCCATTACACTGCAGTGTAAAGTGGTATTAAACTTGTTTACTTTTTTTTGTATCTGAGCCCCCTGTAGCTTTTTCCCAATATGTGCTACTATACATTGCATACTAGCTGGTTATGACAGACTTACTGTACCTATCAAAGGAATACCTCCAGCAGCGCACTGTCAGTGCGGGGGCATTTTCATCATCAATTGGTATTCCTTCTGAGTTCGCTCCATTCAACTTCTTAACTGGCCCAGCTGCAATGACGTCACTTCTATGCATGTACACAGGAGCCACATCACCATGGCACAGGAGCTGTAATGTACTCTGAACTACTCACATGTGTTCCATAACACCACATCACGGTCTCTTCTGTCATAAAAACCCTGCATGTCAGCATTTGTTTTTTTATTATGCCAGTCTATGAAAATCATACTGTTTCAGAACACCACATACAGCTTAAAGGCATCTTCCAAGCATGTAAGTGAAATAATTGGTGTTTAATACATGTTGCCCTCAAAGGCACATTACATGGTGGACCCTCTCCCTGCTATGTAGTATTTTTTCTAATTTTTGGTTGCATTGGTACATGTCCCTATGCATTGCCCAGCTCCTCATTCCCTTTTTTTCACAATCCCTTGTCTATCAGCCATAAAAGTTTGCAACTTTCTGACTTCTTGCTGGTTTGTACTAATCCCAAACCAGAACCAAGCCCAAACATTTGCTTCTCCCTAATATCGACACTGGAGCATGCAGACTTAGCAAACCACATATGCTATTGAATTAATCATATGTATGTACAGTAGGTAATCATAACGTGCACATCTCCATGAGCATGGCATGCATGTAGTAAATGCTGGAAGATGCCACTAGCACCAATATTAAAGACATAATCAGTGTCACAAACAGACTGTATCTGTGTCTGGCAGTGGAAGGGTGACAGTTGCAGTAAGTAGAGGATGATGGATCCACACTCTGACAGATCCCAGGTTGAAATTCCCCAGGCAATGGGGGGAGATAAAATGCTATGAGAATAGGAAGCCCAGCCCACACACACACATAGAGAATACCTTAACTGAGCGATTCCACACAACAGATCTGACACAACACACAACCACCAACACTGACACAGATCAGCAAGCACTAGAAGAGCAGGCTGTGGGATTGGGATGATGTCATCACTCACTGACACATTGCACATGTGATGGATGGCTCGTCTGGTCACACTCACACAGACACTAGACATCAGAGTCAGACATTACCTTACTCTGCAGCTTTGCCTCCGCTGATGAATGGGAGGAGGAGGGCTGGAACTCCAGAGTGATCAGCAGCCACCAGCTGACTTGCAGTAAGGGACTGAGTCTGAGAGTAACACTAGAAAGCCGCAGCCCAGCTGCTACACTGTCCCCAGACACCTGGTATCTTCCTCTGTCCTTTCTTCCTCTCTTCTGCCACCCCTCCCCTCAGCTGAAGGATCATTTGTGATGTGGTTGCATCCCACACAGGGAGAGTGCTGTCCTATGCTGCACCCAGGTGCCCCTAGATGGCAGTGCGCCCTAGGCGGCTGCCTGGTATGCCTAGTGGAAGCACCGGCCCTGTGTCTACATGTCCATACACCTGCACATGTCTTTAGACTTCTTACCAGTGCTAAATATTTTAATCAAATGCCCCTAAGTTGAAAATGCTTACAAGCCAAATATAAAAGATAAGATACAGTTACAAAGGAAATAATTTTGTTCTAGCTATGCCTCTTACATTGTAAGCTCCAAGGAGCAGGGCCCTTCTTGCCCTCTTGTATTGAACTGTATCATTGCTGTACTGTCTCCCTTTGTGTTGTAAAGCACTGAGCAAACTGTTGGCACTATATAAATCCTGTATAATAATAATAATGCCAACTGTATTCACTGCCAACAGTTAGGAACATGTTATACTAGCACTCCCATCACTGATGACATCTCACTACAAGTTGATTTTTCTTATGCTCTTGCTTCTTTGCTGACTGAACCAAGAAGGAGAGGTTCGTTCACCATCTACCTTTTCTGCTGTATTTTTCTCCAAGGAAGCAATGTCCATTAGCAGGTGTTAATTGCATCTAGGTGATTTTACCACTGATAGGATGTTGCCAGTGGCAGCATTACCAGTGTGACATAGCCCTTAAAGAGGAAAAAGGGAATAAACAATTAAACAAAATATGACTGGAATCCTATTAGCGTCCATCCTCTTTAATTGAGCAAAGTGTGACTAGACAATGCTTTACGAACTATTTCAGGGTATGTTTTTGTAGGCAAAATAACTCAAGCAGCGGAAGTGAATTTGCGGAATTTGCACTTCCTAAGGTTCTCTTGGTATGTTTAACATCTTTGCAATCATTCTTATAGCCATTCCCTTCCTGTAAGAGAAATCACCTCTTCTCTGTCTTCCGACCATTCCTCTTGCTTCACGACATGTTAAAAGAGAAGGAGTCTGAGTATCACAGTGCATTTTATAAGCTGCCTAATGGTATTGCGTGTATTATGCTTGATTGCCTGCTCGGTGACATCATCCACAGGTGTGTTTTCATACCTATGATGGAAAGCACGCTTGAATGGAAAACCTCTGTTCTTCAGAGTGGTAGTCTTTAAAGGGGTTGAAATAAATGTTGGCAATGAAGAAGAGAACCACCATAAGAAACCATTTACTACTGTTTTATTTTTTACCCCCATTATTTGCTAACAATATAAGACATAGAGACATGCTGTTCCTTATAGGTGTGTTATGATCCCCTATACAGTAAGACATTACATGTAATACTTTCAGTTGCTCTATTCATTTGACCTTTAAATACTAATCTTTGCTTCATTCTAGGGCTAACATGGTTCCATCTTCCAGTTTGAGTTCATTCCATAGGAACCTATCATGTTGGAAGTAACATGTTAGATCCTTTAATTCCTATTCAACTTAATTTCTTATGCATTAAAAACTAGGGACAATTTCTGCAAAGTGCAATAGCACAAACCAACTAGTTAGACATCAGTTATCCTAGTCAGATGAAAAAATATTTGATGGGTTGCCGCTCTATTGATCTTTGCCTAGCTGGATATGCCATCTCCAGTAAATCTCTCCCAAATGCCTTGAAAGTACACAACCTACATAACACGGTCCTTCTTATCTGGATATCATTTTAGATCACTAGAGCACCTATATTACATGTAATCACCCAATTCATTTAACAAGAACAGTGAGTGAAATTAAACAAAAAAAGTTCTAATTAATGCAACAGGAAAGATTACAAAAACTGTAGAGGGAAACTTAACTTTGAGTCTTCTAGACTGATGTACAACTTGCATTCTATAGCAAATTACAACAAAATTGGCTGCATTACTATAATTGGCTGAAAAAAATGTTTTGATTACTGTTACAAATCTCCAAAGTAACTATTAGTACTGGTAAGATAAAACTGACACAAATTGTTACAAAGAAAAAAAACACATCAAAAACAGGAATAAATATTACCAAAATATTTTGACACAAAATCAGATTTAAATAAGTTGGTAGAAGTAATGATAATAATAATAATATTGTTGATAATAATAATAAGAAGAAGAAGAAGAAGAAGAAGAAGAAGAAGAAGAAGAAGAAGAAGAAGAAAAAGAAGGAACAGGAGAAGAAGAAGGAGGAGAAGGAGAAGGAGAAGGAGAAGGAGAAGGAGAAGAAGAAGAAGAAGAAGAGAAGAAGAAGAAGAAGAAGAAGAAAAATCAACAACAATAACAACATTAATAATTCTACATGCATTACTTTCTAGCATTCCCCCTTTTTTTTTAGCATTGTACACATTGTAACATGTGTTAAGTGTGTTGAGATCTTGATTTATTCCCTAGCCCTGTTGAAGTGGAACAGACTATGAAATAATCCATCCATCAGACATCACCTTATGACCTCAGGTGCAAAGCTAGATCGGTCACTGAAAGAAGTCGCAAGCCCTTTCTAGCAATTTAAAAGGCTGCAGTGCACGGCGACTGGTAGGAGCCTGCAGACAGCGACTGA